GTATATCCTGCAAGCCTTCCCACACCCGCCTTGGTCTTCAGCACACCTCCCCTCTGCCTCTGTGTTTCTAGAGTCCCCAGTTGCTCCATGTCTCCATGTCATGGTCTCTGCCTCCATCTCAGGCATCACTGCTTCCCTAGGTAGGGTCCTGCTCTCTGTTCTTCTCCCCAGATGGTCCCATGCAAGAGTCCAGCTCTCAGCTCTCACAGGGACAGGGGTCTGGAAGGAGACACACAAAGTCGGCGAAAGTGGAAGTAATCGAGGACTCTCCGCTTAGTTGGCTGATGGAGCCCACTGCCCAGCTTAGCAACAGTCTTTATTTATACTCAAAGTTACACAATGCATAATGACCTGATACTTTAATACTTTTCTTTGAAGTGTTACACATTTTTGATTATATCATTCTTTTACCTTGAGGTTACAAAATCTTAACAAAAGTATTTCTCTAATGTCCCACTTGACCTTTGCATATCCTGTTCATTATCTGACCATTAGGTACTTTTCTTCTGGTATCATCTCTTCTTCTACATAAGTGATAGACTGTCTGTTCTTACTCCTACTAAAAGGTCAAGTTGAACCTTAAACAGATCATGTTCACTTTTTATACTTTTACCTACATTCCTTTTCTAGTATCAGTTTCTGTTGACTCAATCATCTTTGCCCACGCTAGTCCATTGTTTCTTCTAGCTATTCATTAATTCTCTACCCTACATAAGGTACTGCTCATATTCTCTATAGCAGCAGCATTGCCAACATTTATACAATGGTTTTGACTTTATCTAAAGTATTCATTAAATTGCCTAGCAGCAGTGTTTCTATGTTTCTTTCTTTGTTCTGGGGTCAGGGGGCGTGCTGAAGGGCCCAACCTGGCTAATTGCTGCAGAAAACGGAGACTACTAAATTATGTTCTCTTTCCATTTATGTTTTCCATTCTCTGCCCGTCTGTGTAGGCTCCTGTATATAGTAGTGGGGGGGTCTTTTGGTTCTGGCCAGTAATAGGTAGCCCACTTCCCTCAAGGGCCCACCATAATCTGCTACCTATCTTAAGTGGGACCCATGGGGATCGGTCAGCTTCACTTTAGCTTTCTATCTGCTTCTGTGATCTCATAAATGCAGCTGCTTCGTATTCGGGTTTTTCTGTGGGAGGGAATAGGTCATACTACCTTAGTTTATCTAAAATTCCCTTTGAGTCTGATCCAGT